CTTAATTATAGCAAATGTATACAAGCTACATTACATTATATTCACATAAGTGTATAATAGCACAAGTATACGTATTAGGGTAGAGTTTCGAGACTACCAGTAAATCAGTAGTATGAGATGTATTCACCCTATTTCGTTTAAGGTGATGAAGGAATGGTAGAAGTATAATTTCCCCACAAATGATGTGAGTAGAGCTGACATTTCCATTTAATTTAACATGGCCTTGCTTTCCCAAAAGTTGTTCTCATCCTCGACCGATGCGAGGTCGAAACTTCAGTCCACTTCTGTCTGGATGAGAACAACTTTTGGGAAAGCAAAGCTATGTAAAAAATGCAATGTAGACGTCAGCTCAACTCATATCATTTGTGGGAAAATTCTGCTTCTACCAGTCCTTCATCACCTTAAACGAAATTGGGTGATACATCTCATACTACTGATTTACTGATTGTCACGAAAACGATACTTAATTCGAAAAATAATATGAAAGAGCATGAAGAGGATTGCTGATGCAATCACACGAATCCCAGCCTATTTTAAGAGCAAGTCATGTGAATAAATTCCCGAATATGACGAAAATATTGGCCGAAAAAGGACTGATCATAAAACAGCAAAGAACGCTTGCCGGAGCTCTGTGAACCGCAACAGAAATAGGTGATATCGTGACATTTTAACAAGCGAAGAGGTTTGTTTCAACATCTGGGTTGAATGTACAAGAACATTATCATGATTGAGTTGCCAGAGGACACAGAACTGGACACATTTCGCAAGGATTTGCTGTTGTCTCGACCGTGTTGCAGAAACAGTGTCACACCAACACTAAAGAGATGGATGTTTATGACATAATAAATACATAAATTATTATTTTTTCTTTATAATATATTACTTTATATACATACATATATATATATTTTTTATTTATTTACTTTACTCGTGTAACCTCGACCGTGGTAGGATTCCTCCCAGAATCCGCAACAGACCGGAAACCGTGCGGTCCTTGGCGACTTGATCGTGATTGCCGGCGCCATTTGCTACGGATGCTCTAACGTGCTCCAAGAGGCACTCATCTGTCGTCATGGCATCTTCGACTTCCTCGGCCTGGCCTCTGGTCTCGTGGCGGCCATTTTGACTGCTTCCTACTGCTTCGGCCTCGAGTGGTCGCAACTGTCCGGTCCGTTGGGCGTCGCCAGTTGGTCGGCCGACCAGTGGGGCTGTTTCCTTGGTTATGCGGCCGCTATGCTTGCACTCTACGTTGTCATGCCGGCGGTTTTGCAGCGCACCAGTGCTGTACTTGTCAACCTTTCGCTGCTCACCGCCGATGTTTATGCTCTTGTAATGGGAGTTCTAATCTTCGGACTTCAATTTCACTATCTTTACTTAGTCTCATTTGCTGTCATTCTGGCTGGCGTTGCCCTCTTCTCCGTCCAGCCGACTGTTGATCCTCTCGGTCGGCAAATGGCTCCGGTTATAAATAATGTTCCCGATGCTCCGGTCAACTATCCCAGCCAACGATGTCTGAAGCCGACCTTGCCGGCGGACAGAAGCAATGAGAACCATGACGCCACTGGAAGCTGGTGTAGCTTGACTTATTTTTGAGGACCTTAAAATCTTTCTGACACTTCCTGCTCATCTGCGTTTAGACGTTGGTTATCTTCAGTTCACGTCAGTTTCAACAACTGATTCTGTTCTCCTTTTTAACCTACACTCATTTTGAACTATTAAAAGTCGCAATTTTCATAACAATCTTCCTTATTTACCTGCCTAATGTTTGATGCTATCAGACTTAGGTTGGCTTACAAGTATACTTTATTGGAAATGCATTTTCACACTTTCGTCAGGCTGATTTCTTTTATCCTTGCCTCGAGTACCAAATATCCA